TCTAGAAGAAGAATGCACTTACATAACACAAGCCTTTACACGTCTTCAGTTCCCATCTTTCTTCATCCGAGATTGCAGACTCAAGGCACAAGCTATCCTCAACAAACCGCCCATGGAACAGCCCCCTAAACAGTTCATAGTACTCCCATGTGGCGATGTTGCCACGAATACTCGCAGGGCACTTACTATGAGTAACATCAACGTTTCCACCATAAACACATCATCTATCAAAGACCTCACTACGAAACGCAGCCCCACACCTCTAACTTCTACAGCAGGCGTCTACGCTATCCCCTGTGGGTTCTGTCCCAAGAAATATGTAGGCGAGACAGGCAGAGATCTTGCAGTCCGCCTGAATGAGCATCGAAATGCCTCTAACAGAGACGATGTAAGGTACGCATGTGTCCTCCACAGAGACTCCACGGGGCATTTGATGAACTGGAATGAGGCACAACTCGTTCTCACCGAACCAGACCTCAGACGCCAACGGTGCCTAGAAGCCTCACTAATCGCCGTCACCGACACTATAGAACGCAACACTGGAAACTACAAAATTTCAAAAACATTGGCATACATGATACTTAAGCAGCACCAACCCAACAACACAGAAGTCACGTGATTTCATCGTCTGCCCGTCCTCATCATGGGCGGAGGTTGTTTTTGATGGGGACCTGCCTCGCATGGGCCAGTAGGCCTTCTACAGTGTTCCTCCATTCTTATGTTCTCATGACATTCCTCAGGTCATGTGCGTCACACCTCACTCTCCGCCTATATATAATGTCTTCCTACCTCTGTATGTTAGAAGTGATCAAGGTCCCAGGACCGAAACGTTTTCTAATAAATATGTTATAGTGTTTGCTTACGTGTCTTTCATAGGTTGAACTGCATGCAGCCAGCAGTAACAGCCTGGTTGATCAGAATCTGATCCACCACAGGGGCATTGACCCCTAGAACACCCTCCAGGTAGTTATCTGATGATCTGTCACATGTCAACACTGCAGTGTGGCAGGTGTGCAGGTGATGCATTTGTACAGTATCAAATTCTTTAAGACTCACAGAACAATGTTTTAACCTATAGAATATGCCTATTAGGTACCATTTCATCCCTCTGTGGGATTCTCCTAATTATTTTTTTTAAAAGTTAACGTAGAAAATGCTATATACAGTGAAACCTCGATTTAATGTATTAACCCTTAAACTGTCCAAAAGTAGATCTATGTTACTACTGCTGGTGCTCCAAATGTAGATCAATGTTTTATTTTTCCTGCCTTCAAATTTGGCACGATTGGCCTGAGATACCTGGTCAGTATAGAATGGGTCTTAACACTTGGTGTGAGCAGTATTAAAAAATCTGGGACCACTTAGTAGCTTGTGTGAGCACCAGTTCAATTGAGCGCCATTTAGAACAAATAGCATGACAAACACCAGGGATTCACTGATGTCACATTGTATTAACACCCCTTTTGAGAGAAAAGTGATGTTGACCCAGAGTTTAGTGGCTTTGAAATGGATGTGGCCACAAGTGGTCGAGGAAATATCAAAAACCTTGATAATAACCCATGTGCAACATTTATGCAACATCCTTTCATTTTTGATACCACTGGTAGTGTCATCCTGCCAGATTGTCCTATAAGCTATGTCCTAAGTAAAGAGAAATTATTCTGGAACATGTGTAATACATATTCGGCGGGCTGGCTGTCTGACTTACGGCTGTCTCTCTGTCTGTATCTGTCTCTGTCTATCTCTGTCTCTCACTCAAAGGTGCACATAAGTACAGGTATCATACATAGTGTAAATTACCTAGGATAACCCAAAAAATCCAGACAAAGTGCTATACTGTGCTTGTATATATAAGGCATAATAAGCATGACTGGCAAGTAATATACATTTTCACCTGATCAGGAATCAGACATGATAACTCTGAACTGTGTGTAATACCTGTTGGTTCATGAGCTGCTCTCTGAGACAAAGACAAGCAGACAGAAAGACAGAGACACACAGGCAGACAGAAAAACAAAGACACACAGGCAGACAAAAAGAAGGATAAGCAGACAGAGCTAGACAGACAGACAGATGACATGTTTATGTGTAGCAGTGAAAATAAATAAAGCCACGGTTCCCTGGAACAGTGTACGATCATCAAATGTCACTCCACTGCTGCACTGTCAGCAGTGGAGTGACACTCGCCTTACACCGTGCTTCAAGGAATTTCATATATACTCCAGCATGTCTAAAACATTGCTGGAACCTATAAATACAGTGGAACCTCTACTTACGAGTGCATCCACATGCAAGTTTTTTCCAGATACGAGCAGTCGCTCGGTTGATCTTTTGTTTCCAGACGTGAGCGAAATTTCCAGATACGAGCAGGCCTCAAGGGAGGTTCCTCGACGCTGGTAAGAGGCTCTTGCTCTTGATCTAGGGAATTGGATCTCAGAACTTGGGCAATATATGATGGAAAGATGCTTAACGTACACCATAAATGAAAGAAATTGGACCATAAATAACGGAGTTCACTTCTCAGCCATTTGCCGCCCCTTAGCAGTATTTTCGTATGGTTTTTATGGTCATATTCTCATTTTTTTTGGTCTGATTTGATAGAATGGAAGATATATTACAGAAAGAGATGTGATTTTGATTGGTTTCACAACAAAAAGTACCTTGAAATTGAGCTCAGAGCAGCAGAAATTTTCGATTCTTTGGCGATGTTCAAGAGTAAACAAATGACATCACTGTCCATTCCAGGCAATGATTGCGACCAGATCTACCTGGAGTTCATTACCTTTGTAACTAGTTCAGCTATCATAACTTTGGGGTCCAGTCCCTGGACCCATTATGTACCTCTGTAATCTTTTGACTACTGCCCACAGGATGGGTATGGGGTGCATAATAAAGATATTAATCGGAACTGTCCATTCTAATATGCAGTCATGAATGGGTTGACATTATTTATACAATTATTACAATAATACAGTAGTCTGCATAACAGTAAATCTTCTATTTTTTGTGTTAATATAAATTACAAATTATTTATACTGTAATAATAATAATATGTATAATAATATAATATACGTGTAATAATAATAATATAATACGTATAATAATAATACATATATAATAATAATGTACTATATTATAATAATGTATAATAATAATGTACTATACTATAATAATTATAATAACAGACGGCTTCAAAAGGCCGTCACTAGATGACAGTGATTACCACAACAATGCGGGAGCAGTTGTGGCTGCCTCCATTTGTCACATAATGACATATTTTATTCATTCAGGTTTCTATGTTATTTATATTGTTTATTATGTTATATTAGATGAACTGTGATAGATAAATAAGCCAAACAGATGATATTAGCAAAATATTAAAGTATCTTGTCGTGCCTCCTGAGAGCTGGAACGGATTAATTGCATTTCAATTAATTTAAATGAGAAAAATCAACTCTGCAAATGAGCAAATCCAGAAGCGAGCAAGGTCACAAAATGGATTAAACTCATAAGTAGAGGTTCCACTATACTTTGTATATAATTCTAGACAATAGTAAATGACCAAGGCAGGTGAAAATGTTCACCTGTCGGTGTGTTTGTGACTATTCGAGTACTATTTCAGTACCTAATATTGGTGTCAGAACAAAGATTGGCTATGAAATCACAAGAACTACTATAAATTGTAATTATCAGAACATAAAAATTATATAAATTAAAATAAAAATGAGAAAAAAAAAAAGGTATATCAGCAACACTTCTGCAAGTGGCAGGACTCCATGTTGCCTTCAGGTGAGCATCCAGTGCCAACTTCGCAGTCTTATATCTCAGTAAGTACTAGTCCTAAAAATTTTTTTTTGGGTCTTATTACACACAGAAAATTGCTCTCTTTAATTAAAAAAATAACTTTTTTTTTTTTTTTTCAAAATATTTGGAGTGCTGGCAGTGAAAATGTAGATCTACATTTGGACAGTTTAAGGGTTAATAGGGGGAGAGGGTGTCCTGTAATGCCAACTGTTTTTCTATGATTGTAATTGTAGCAATATTCATTAGTTCTGAAAACAATGGACTTGGTCCATTAAATCCTAAATCAATTTACTCCATGGGCCATAACAACAAACTAGAGTACTGATTCTACAGATCTACAATATCATGTGAATACAATATATTTTGGCTATTAATTCAATCCATTTTTATTTTTTTGCTATGAAAAATTTTAAGAGATGGGATGTGTGGGAAGAGTTAAACAACCATTGTCTAAATTAACAAAACATAGGTATGAGACTGTTGATTTTTTTATGTTAACCAGATGCTCTTTGGTTAATAGAATATTGGACATATGAGGTACTCCTGTAGTGTGTATCTAAACCCATCTTACTTGTGCCACAAATTATTACAGTAATTTTCACTTGTTTGGTAGTTAGTTATAAGTAATGTTCCATGTAAAAATGACAATGTTCACCTGCCAAGAGGACGGATATGTCAACATGGCTTCTCAGAAATTCATTATGAGTTTTCTTTATGACTAGCACAATGAAGTACAGTACATCTCACTGCCTTTAAAACAATCCATTAAAAACAAATGATTTTGATAAAAGCTTAAATATAACAGATAACTGTCACTGGAGAAATAAATTTTTTTTTTAGTGTAGCATATAAGCAAAAGTGTATGAAAAAATATGTTATTTTTTCATACACTTTTGCTTATATGCTACACTAAAATTTTTTTTTATTTCTCCAGTGGAGGAATACGAGAGTACAAAGACAATGAAGTTAGTTCTTTTTCTTACAAGAAAACAGAAAAATTATCCATAAAAACCAGTGCTACAGTATTTACCAATAATGAATTGTTAATTATATTAGAGCAAAATATATCCAATAAACACAATTTGAAAAATAATGAAAACCCTAATAAAACAAAATATAAAACAGAATAAAAATGTATTAAAGAGGTAGGATGAAGGGAAGGTGTGAAACATTCAGACAAGACGGCAGTTACTCACTAATGGAGAGGAAGGAGTACTTCTTCTCTAGGGCGAGGAGGTCAGGTTCTGAGGGCGCAGGCTCGGGCTGGATGTTGTCAGGCAGGGCAATGTTCAGGTTACAGATGGGGGTCTGAGGGGGATCACCACGCCCAACCTGAAACACAGGGGGTTTTAACAGGCTAATTAGTGAAGCCTTCTTCCAACGCCCATCCTGGAAGATTAGAGGGCAAGGAGGTGTTATTGAGCAAGATGGAAGAGTAGTAAATAGCCAAACATAAATTTAGTTAACTACTCACTTAGGCTGATGTTGGAGTTACATAACTTCAATCCTGAAATAAACTAGCTAATACCATATTTCATTTATTTTGAGAACAACCTACAACAATTAACCCTTTCAGGGTTTCGGCCGTACTAGTACGGCTTACGAGCCAGGGTTTTTGACGTACTAGTACGCCTAAATTCTAGCGCCCTCAAATCTAGTGAGAGAAAGCTGGTATGCCTACATATGAAAGAATGGGTCTATGTGGTCAGTGTGTGCGGTATAAAAAAAATCCTGCAGCACACAGTGCGTAATGAGAAAAAAAAACTTTGACCGTGGTTTTGGATTAAAACAGCGACTTTGCACTGTATTTTCGTATAGTATTTTTTGTTGTATTCTAGTTTTCCTGGTCTCATTTTATAGAATGGAAGATATATTACAGAAATTGAGATAATTTTGACTGGTTTTACAAAGAAAAGTACCTTGAAATTGAGCTCTAAGTAGCAGAAATGTTTGATTTTTACCAAAGTTCCAAAGTAAACAAATCATGCTATGCGTCCAATACACATCAATTGGCGAGTCTAATATTCTTTCACAAGTGTGCTGATATTATTTATACCATTTCTACACCAACGCAGTAGTCTGCAAAACAGTAAAGAGGGGCATGGGGACATGACTAATGAACAGAGGAAATGTTATTTTAGTGCCAGGAATGTCTTTCTTGTTTATTCTGGACCCTATTCGGAAATTGGCATCTTTTGAAATTTGTGTGAAATTGGCAAAATTGCTAAATTCTGACCATTGAAATGGATAGTTGAAATCATTAAATGGGTGGTTTCTTGTACTCATTCGATAGAAAAAATGGAGTTCTAGCGAAATAGTTATGATTTTCATCAACAAGTATGATGGAATTGGCCGAAAATAGGGCTCAAAGTGGGCAAAATCGCCAATGCGTAAACATCGTCGAGACCGCTAACTTCGCGAGAGCATAATTCCGTAAGTTTTCCATCAAATTTCATACTTTTGGTGTCATTATGATCGGGAAAAGATTCTCTGTCTTTTCATAAGAAAAAATAGTTTATTTTTTGCTTGAAATTTGGCCGGCCCTGAGAACAAGACTCTGAGAGGGCCTGTCGACCCTGAAAGGGTTAAAAGTTTGTAATAAATGTAAATTTTATATAGCACTCATGACATATATTCATTAACTAATAAGATTTCTTATTAATTAACTTTACCATAAATTATTATAAATTTCATGTTAACTTACAATATGTATTTATGTTTCATCATGGATTACCTTAGGTTGTCGCATAAAGGCCACTCTGCCAATAGGGTCAGCATGCTGATCCTTTACACGAACTGTGAACGGAAGCCGATTTTCTCGGAACGCATAGAAGTTGAAAGCAAGTTGGTCCCCAGACTTTGTGACTGGAACTAGGTTACCAGCAAATTCTAGGAACTGTGGTTTGCCCTCCAACACTTCAACATCACGAGACTTAGCAACCTGGGAGATTATTTTGCAAATTAAAGAGTAATGTATATTTAATAAAAATAAATTAAATACAAACATAGAATGCACTTACTGCTAAAAATAATTTTTAAGTGTGTACAATTCCTGACACTACATAAAAAAAAGCTAATCCAAAACTCACTTCAACAAACAACTCTTGGTGTTCAAGTGTCTTGTCTTCCCGGTCATCAGTCATACAGAATACTCTTACTCTTGCTTCTTCCAGCTGGTGTCGCTTGCTAAATACGACAAACTTCGCCATGAAAGGTACATGAATTGCCTCCCGGTAGAGTTCTGTGGCCATTTTAGTGGCTTCTGGTATGTTGCTGCAGTCCATTAACCAAAATCTGGCAGAAACTGTAGTAGTGAAGCTGACACAGTCATTGACAAATGTGAGGGGTGTAGATCCTGTGACGTCTTCCCACTGAGCACGAGTTGTGCCGCCTGGAAAAATTGTGAGTTAGTTAATATGAACACAATTTTATTTTTTTAAGTAACTTAAGTTTATAAAAAATACTATAGTCATGTCTAGATACAATCACTTCAATTAGCTGCATACTGCAAAAGCCTTAAAAAATGCTCATATTTTCTACAAGAATACATTTTCCTTAAAAATTAAGGCATAATAAGTTAATTTTTAAATAATAAGCCTAATGCAGGAAAATGTATAAAAATTCAAAATACAAGAGCATCCTTTTTTTAGTGACTTCTAATAAAAATATATCTATTCACATCTATTATACAGAAGCACATAAGGTGGCCTCATCAAGAAATAACAAATTAACACTACAATCACTATCATTTACGAGATGAAAAGAAACTAGGAAAAACAAAATTTAAAATGAATAATTTCTATAAATTAAAAATTAAATAATTTAACAGGCATTGCACTAACATGAATTGTATGTGGATGTAAAAAAGACATGCCATTGATGTTGGTTATTCTTACATAAACAGATATGAGCATAATTCCATTATTCAAGATTACCCACAAGCCAATATAAATAAATAAATAAATAAATATTACATACATACATAATATATATATATATATATATATATATATATATTTATATATATATATATATATATATATATTTATATATATATATATATATACATTTATATATATATATATTATTATTATATTTTTATATAAATATAATAATATATATATATATATATATATATATAATATATGTATAAGATATATGTATATAGATATATGTATATAGATATATGTATATAGGATTTTTATATTTTAAGATTATGTTTGGATATATATATATATATATATATATATATATATATATATATATATATATATATATATATATATATATATATATATATATATACATATCTATATACATATATCTATATACATATATATATATATATTTATAATATATATATATATATATATATAAATATATAAATATATATATTATATATATATGTATATATATATATATATATATATTTATTTATTTATTTATTTATTTTTCAGATGCAGTACAGTTAATACAGTCCATTACTCTGAAATTTTCTTTGTACTATGTTTATTATTAAATACATGGATGAGCTTTTATTACATACATAAACATCAAGTTGTTATGTGTTAATAATGCCGCAACACAGTGACACCAGAGTAAGTTTGAGTAAAGTGAGTGCTAGCAAATTGACTTAATCAAACGACTTGTGGTTGTCTTGAAAATCTGATACTCAATTCCATACAAGTAACAATAAATAGATACAAGGGTCTTCAAGAATGTGAATAAAAAAAATTGAAAATGAAATAAAGTACTAGGAAAAAGGGAGGAATATTGCTTGCTTGACTACAGACAGTATATGACTGCTGTTATTTTATATTTATGTTGTTAAGGGTAAAATGAAGTATTTAAATCTCACAAAAAACAAGAGTAAAAACATTACAAAACTATAACTTTTGTACAGTATATAATAACAGTACCATTTTTTTTTTAAATGTGTACATAATACATTACTATATTTATTATTAAAGTATAAGTATTAGATTAGCCATTGAGGGAAAAAATCTATTTTTTCTACTGCTTCTGCAATATATAGTGCATATATGTAATTAAAGGTATATTTATAAATTAAATCTAAATAAAGACTACATTAACATGCAAAATCAGACAAGTTATAAATAAAAGCCACATTGCCTCCCTTTCTCATTAGCCAAAAAAAATAAAATATGACCTACAGTGATAGACAAAACTATGAAAATAAATCTGCTCCCAATTTGTTCCTGCCACTATTTCTAAGAACTTTTCAATGATGCTGGAGCAAGATATGAAGAACAGTTAAGAGAGTAATACATAAATCTTCTGAAAAAAATTGAGCTTGCATAATTATAAATAAGGGCCTAGAACATGACTTAATACACGAGAAATACTGATGATTAATTATCCATTTTGGTCTTAGCTTCTCTCAATATTTTCATAGTTTTGTCAGCAATGAAGGCCTGGCCTAAATACAAAAGGCAAGTACTTTATCCACTGTGTACCGCATGGTTTGCAATATATGACAAAGTTATCGTTTATATGACAAAAGATAACATCAAAAAAAAAAAAGCCTAACTACAAATAAAAATCTTATGCTTTCATTAACTGTGCATATAATTAATTCCAGAGTAGAATGCCAGATAAGTATAATTTTTTTTACTTCAAACCTACTCAAGAAGTAAGAATTACATATTGTTTATAGCCCAAGAAGCAGGTCATGAGTTTGAAATGGAAAACTTTCTTAACCAAGGTAATAAGGGTACTATAGGAAGACATGCACACAGTGTATGCACTCTTTATAATAAAAAATACAAGTGATGAAAATAATCAACAGACAGCCAGAATGAGAAGCATCTGAACATTGCTTCTCTGAATCCATGAGTAACATTAAGGAAGAATGAAATCACAAGGTGATGATGACGAGGTCTTAATAATTGTTATTCCAGAAGAGTGGATCAGTGGCAACTCAATGTAACCTTGTGACATGCAGGACGTGTGAAGCCAATTATATAAGAACAGGGAGAGGGAAGAACACTTGTAGCAGGCCTCTGTATCACCTGCAGAAATTCCTAAAGAAGTACAGATAAGCAACCTTTCTAAAAAAAAAAAAATAATATAATGCCAATTTTGCCAGCTACTGACAGAAGACAATTTACTACTTTATTAGTGGCAAGTGCTTTCACTGGTCAAATCTGACCAGTTATGACTTTACTGAAGTGATACTTTTACAATACAATAGATTTTATATGCACCAGAGGTTATTTTACCATGTCAAGTCACACGCAGGAAGAACTATAAATTAATTGTCAGTATTAGCCTACGAGCAAAATGTTTGTGTGTAGCATACTGTGGTATACCAACTTAACAAATCACTTTTGTTGTTTTAACTAATTAGAATAGCTGGCAATACAGAAACTTAATGCAGAGAATCTGCCATCAGCCGGTAAAATAAACATTGCAATAATAACGAAATAATAAGAATGATAATAACAGCTTATCTTATGACAGTGACATCAATATATTGACAAATTTGTAAAAAAAAAAAAGAGAAAATGATATAAAAGTGAGTAATTTAATGTTATTACAATCGATGGACTCCAGGATAATTCTACATGGAAACAGAGGCCTCAAAGAAATTCCAGATACTTTAGCTCTATTGTCAAACTTATTTTGTGAAATGGCATTGTGTAAACTTGTTTACATAAACATATCCATATATACTGGGCTGCCCATTGGTCAAAAAATTTAAATACTGTTACACCCCATTAGTTTGCTACTGATCAAAGATTTATACATACATATAATAATGTGATATTAAGAATGAGTTGCTCTTTTAATACCTGTATAACAGAAGAATATTATTTCTATGTTAACTATTAAATGAAGTGCAACAGTAATAGGATAGTTTTAAACCCTGATATGAAGCCCATATAATAAATATGAAAACAAACTCTTGCTAAACCGGCCAGTTGATAGTGAACAACATGGAGAGACTCAACTCTGTTGCTGATTATTATTATTGACACTTGTTAGATGACTCATACCATACAGCCATCACATGAATATTGTGACAAATTATATAAAATTTAACCTACAAACAGCCATCTTTCTTTTTACCAAGCATACTTTGTGTGTATCTCCCCCCTCCCCTAAAAAAATGGCAAAAAAGTCAATCAAAATTAGTCTGGGTCTCAAGCCAGTCATAAAAAATCTTTAACAAATCAATGAAATATTTCTGAAAAAAATATAATATGCAGCTTCTTTCTTCTCTACTGGTATCTAAAAATTTACTTGAACATCACTGAGGAAATGACTTTGAGCCCGCAGACCAACTTGTGCAAATAACAAACTTGGCAGTAAATTAAAATATTTGTGCACCTCAGTAAATATATGTGTCAAATATACCGAGCAACTGCTAGTGATTAATTATGTATATGGTGTAATTTCTTGTACTTCATTCTGTGCACTGGGTGCTTGTGGGATTTGGCTAATGCAGGGATGTACAGCCTGTGGCTCGCAGGAGGACCTTCATGTCTTATGTAAAAACTCAGTCTCTGACTTTTGGCTAAATAACACACTTGTGAAACATATGGCATCTTTATTGTGGAAATGTTTATTTAATGGGCTGATGAGGCCACTGGGTTACCAAACATTTCCACAACAGATACACAAATGTTGCATGCATTAGTGTCTCATTCATCAACTTGATCTGCTTTCTAAACCATTTATATACAATGACTTGAGGCACAGAATATCTTCCACTGGCTTTAATCATATCAGTTTGTGTATATGCTGTACACTTTACAGCTAATTTTTTAAGTCATTAATACAGTATTACTAAGTGAAAAGGTTGTGCATCCCTGGACTGAAGCAACACTCCATGCACTACAAAGCAGGCAACACTATCAAGTGTAAAACTTCCTGACACTTTCCTTGGGAATTCCAAGCTAAAATATACTGCAATAATGTACACCATTTCATCATCAGACATTGTAATAGTGACTGGGGTAACAGCTGACAAGCAGGCATATAAAGGTGTGTAATGTAAAGAAAACTTGAATTTAATTCAATGATCAGCTCAGGGCTCAACTTTATCAGGTATGATAAAGCTCAGTGCTAAGCATAATGTCATCTAAAATAAAGATTTACACTGTGTTATACCTTTATACCCAGACTTTGTAATTATGTAGTAACTGACATTTGTGTACTGTCTTAGTTTAAAAAAATATTCCTTTGCTTTCCCTCCAGGAATATGGAATACTCTATAATATCCCCAAAGGAAATAATGAACTATTTTTGTAATCAAACCTAAATGATTTAAAAGCTGATCCCCTCAATGGAGGTTATTTCACACTGGTGAGGGACTCTTAATTGAGGAAATTGGTCTTGTTCTCACCTTCCTTGGACAGAATCTGA